TCCTGTCTCGTGGACCTTTGTTTTGCCAATGACTGATCGGGTCTGCGACCCAGACTGAGTAGCTTCCGGAACCAGGATCATCCCCTCTCGTCCGTCCGTAATTTCCTCCGCCTGTGTCTCTGCCCCTCCTCTTCCTCCTCCTGCTTCTCCTGCTCCCGCTCCTCCTCCTCCTCCTCCTCCTCCTCCTCCTCCTCCTCCGCTCGCACCGTCGCTATTCCGACGCAACACAGGCGTTTGCTGTTCCCACTCCAGTGCGCCCTCGTTCTTACAAACCCTGCCGGCGGACACATACTTGAGTTTCCTGTAGACATCCGGTTTGAACAAATCCGGACTGAGGGTCATGTAGCCGGGCGCCACACGATCCACTCCAACGGCTGTTGCATTGGGCGAGGAGCTGTCGGAGAAGGGGATACGGCAGATCACACCATCATAGGTTTGGAAGACGGGCAGCGTCTTGGGTTCGGCGGCGGAGGAGGATGAGGAGGGAGAAAAGGAGGCGACGGCGGCAGCGGCCTCCTCAGGATTTAGGCGGCCCTCGTAGGCCAGGAGCTGATGAGCAGGGAACGGTTGCGGAGATGCCATGTAGGTGAGTGGGAAGCCTGTGTTGTCACCAGTAGCCGTTGTCATGTACTGAACCTTTCGGCAGCTACCCAGCGTCGAGGTAGGTATCATGACGCTCGCCGAAAGGTGGCCGTACAGGTCGTCAGTCTGATTGGTGCGAAGACCATGCAGTGGCGTACCTTAGGTCGGAATATAAGAGAAACCGGAAACGGGTTCAATATCCTACGTGATTGAAGGGGAATAAACATGCGTTTTGGAGGGGTAATGGACATCTGTCACATTGTATGAGGGAGAGGAATGGCATACATGTATATTTCGAAATAGGCAAAAGTTTCGGCCCAGCAAAATATAATCTCCAGGGTAAGACACGAGGATTTCACGATTATCGAACTGTGCAGTAGGTAGGGGAACATAAACTCCTTGCAAGATCATATTGTCGTAATCAGTAGACGAGACATTTAGACGGCACGAGCAAACATGTAATAAAAATCAGTCCAAAATTAATCAAGTAATTAAAGTTCTGAAGTAAGGCAGAAAGCGTTTAATGAGTGAAGAATGAAGAGGAACAAATGGCCTACGAAATCCGCCAACAGCGTGCATCATGGGGATAGTTATAAAAATGTAGCATAGGTGGGCTAACTTATGAAATGTCAACAGAAATTCCGAAATGCGTTTTCGTTTCGAAAAGACTAATTAAGTAGGGTTGTAAATGTAATGAGTGTGCAGTATAATTCTATAACAATTCAGTTACCACAGGATGGCAACTTTCGAAAGAACTTCCTTCCGGCTGCACGCAACAAGTACACTCTGTAAAAAATGACTGCTTAAGTAGCATGCATTTTTCTCTTTGATTTTCGATGCCCCTAAAAGTTCACTTATATTTCATGGAAAACACGCATAAAATAATCATTCTTTAGCTCATTCGGTAGAAAATTACGCCTTCTTCCAATTTTAAACTCAGAGGAAGCATATTATTTGGTTTTTAGAAACGTTTCCAGTTCCCGAATAATTTTGAACCCGACCTGCTGTTACACTTGTATTCAAGGTTTCCAAACTACAAGCCGTATATTTTCCGCGTACGGAAAACCATATATTTCTCTACGATATTAAGAGGAGACCATTTGGGGTTCATAAAATCTAGCAGTGGATTTGGGCCATATTGATAAATTTACAAGCCACATTGGTAAATGCACAGACATGACGTTTTATGAACGGCCATTTCACGGTATTTAAAATTTTCGCAGTTGGAAACTTTTTTAAAACCAAATTATGTTGCTCCTTTGAGTATAAAGTTAAAAGAAGGCATAAGTGTCTACCCAATGAACGAAATAATGAATATTTTTTATGTATGATTTCCGCGAAATATAATTGGACTTTTAGGGGCATCGAAAATTAGTGAGAAAAAGTCGTGCCACTTAAGTAGTCATTTTTTACAGAGTGTAGTTTTTGCATGCAGCGGAAAGGAAGTTCGTTCGAAAGCCGGCGTCCTGGGGTAACTGAATTATTATAGAATGGTGCTGCAGACAGAGTAGTTTTACAAATCTACTTAATTAGTTTTTTCGAAACGGAAAGGCATTTCGAATTTCAGTTGACATTTCATGAGTTGGCCCACCTACTGTATGTTAAATAAATGTCGGTGGGGGGGTTTCCTCAGATAGGCAAAATCAGTCGCCACCACCACTACTTTGGTTCAAATTCTGACCTTTGAAGCGCATACCTACGTATATGCATACTCATAGAGTAGAAGTTAGGAGTTGTTTGTCCACCTCATGCTTTCGACTGCAAGCTGTCACATCCCCAGTGCACGTCCGATATCCTCTCTCAGCTCAAAAGTAGGTCACTGCCAGCGTGCTCGTTCGCGTAACAAGGTCACTCTGAACGCCAGTATATACGCCAGAACACGATCCACTGTCTACCGACGGCTAATTGAGGTCCTTCATCCGACTGGTGCCTAAAAATCATTGATTTTTTTAAATAGTGCACCCATCGCATGGAGTCGTTTCTATATTGACTGTTTTGTTTTTACCTTGAACGTGATGCATTGTATCCTGTTTCACACGATAAACTAAACCACGGCCAAAGTCTAGCTCCACTAATGGTTACTGTGATTAAGAGTATTTTATTTAAAAGAAGACGAAGGCACGATCACTGGGACAGTAGATTTATTTGCCTGAGCTTTCGAACTCGAACTGGAGAGACTACCTGAGTGCAGCAAATTGTGAACATTT